AGACGACTTTTAAAATCAAGTTGTAACTTTAAAAAGTCCATTAAGCTCGAGACACATCAATTGTGCAGTGTAAACAGACCCGTTTTAATAAATTAGTTATTTAATAAGTGTCTAGTAACACAATTCACTTTGTAACAACATTAAATACTCTGACGTAATCGCTATTATATCGTCTTCCTATTCCATTGTTTTCTGGTTCTCATATTGAGTCATATTAAATTTTAAAAGAGTTTCGGGTGGTCGTTAAAGTCTCATACAACCCTAAACTAAGCTTTTGGCGTGTACTGCAGGGATCTGCAGTACACTGACCGAAAGCATCTAGGGGTTTAGCGGAGTTTAAAAACGTTACCATGTTCCTTGTTATAACAATGTTGAAGAAAGAAAAATGAATGTTAGCGAAACTAAAGAATGGATGTGAGCTAAGCTATGCCTAGAATCTGAAACAAGAAAAGAACTATTTCCAATAAACAAAACTTCTTAATCTGTTGGGCAAACTAACAAATACTATTGGAGAAACCAGAGAACCAGAGAACCCAGTTTTCAAGGATTATACAGAGAGGGATTGTCAAGAAAAATAATTTTATTAGAAGAAAATCAAAGATTATGAACTAATGAAAAGAAATACAAAAAAACGAAATTAGTGCGAAATTTTCTTTTTGAGATGCGCAAAATGAAGTTTTGATTTTCAATCAGATTATACAGTTTTTTAAATTATTTCTTTTAGTCTTAAAAATTATTAATATCGGGGGAAAAAAAAATTTTAGAATAAACAATTTTGAAATTTGTTAAACTTTGTTATTTTTTTGAAAACTTATTGTTTTGTAAAATATCTACAACTGAAACAAGAACGATAATTGTATCGGTTAATTTTACAGAAAAAAACCACCAATACTGCAACCTAAATTGATTAACGGATAGAAAGCTAATGTATTGTCGACTTAATTGTAAACTGTAATTCAGTATTATTTAAAAAAAAGAGTATTGTCCAATTCTTTAAAAGGTTTAAATACCCCTCCTTAAACAAGCCACCCCCCCCCCCCCCCCCCCCCGATTTACGTAAAAGTTCGATGATTAGATCGACCCCCACCACCATGCTTTATACACATACATATAAACAGTTTGTTTTTAATCTTCCTGACAGAAACAGTCTCAAGGAATAATAATTGTCTGAAAACATATTTTTTTAAAGTAAATATTTGAAATTATCTTTTTTCCATCTCATCATCTGAGTTCGTTTTCCTTTTGTCCATTTGACTGCCAACTTTTTTTTTATTTATTTTGTTTATTTTCTTGTGTTTTTTAACAATTTTTTTTTATTTTTTTATCGATTTTGATGGTTATTATATCGTTAGAACTGACGAGGGTCCATCACCATCACGGAATTTTAAATTGTCGTCTTAGGTTTTCCCTTAATATAAGAAACGCCGAATACTTTTTAATTCTTTTTTGTTTAACATATTTTTTTCGCTTCCTGTAAAAATATTTACTTTTTTAAATATTTGAACTTTGTTGATTAAAATTTAGAGCTTGTAAAACTCATATATATTAATGTTTTAATTATTAAAAAATTAACATCAAAGACGGTTATCATTCCGCTGCATCACAGCTCTCTGCTCAGAAGTAAAATTATTCCTCAGAATAAAGGTGTTCAATTTATATTTAATGATATACATGTATTTAAATATTCCAGTTTTACGAATTCATCCTTAGGACTACTTATTTTCATTAGAATATTATACTAATGTCGTATTCGTTGGTTTTTAAGTCGCATTATCTTTAGAGACACGTATGACGGTAACAATCAAACAAGAAACAATAGGAAATACCGAAAGATGAAAAAAAAACTTATTAAAAGGACAAAGTATGATCAAATTTCTCTTTTTGTATCAAGTACTTACATAACATACTCAATTTTCAATTGATTTCAGCTACTTTGATAAATGTCGTCTTAGATATTAAGATTTTGAAGATAATACGCATCAACTCCGAAAAATTACAAATAACAATTTATCAGAGGCGTATTCAGGGGGGGGCTATAGGGGCTAAGCCCCGCCCCTGGACAAATTTTTATATCTTTGTGGTCGTCTTCTTTCGGAATGAATGTTTAATTTAATTAGCAATTGGACTACAAAAAAGATATAGAAATTTTCAATGACAAATTTAAACAAAAAAATAGTTTTTCTATCAAATTATTAAATTCTCAAAAAAGGACAGAAATTTGCGAAGCAAACCCTTCCAAAATCTATATTTTTATTTTACAGGGTTACTCACAAAGGATGAGACTTCAGAGACGATTTATACTGTCTGTTTCCTTATTTTCATGATTCCCTGCAACTTACAGTTGATTCTTTTGTAGTGAAATCATTAAATAGAACATTAAAAAGAATATATTTAAAGCAAAAAACTTAATTTAACATTGAATTTGTAATATTTTAAGAGTTTAAGGTCGTCATTACAGTCTCATCCTTTGTGGGTGACCCTGTAGAGAACAACTGAGCAGTGAGTATACTGAATTCCTAGTGAAAATATGAATTTTTACTCTTATCTTGAAAGTTCTATAATTAAGTCACAAGATAAATCAGAGATATGTATAATATTGTAGATTTCATATGAGCATTTAGTTGGCAGTGCTTGAACATGTGTGAGAGAATAGTGTCATGATATATAACATATCTTGAAAAAAACTAGTTAGTATTAAATTGTAAATATTTCAATAAGAAAATGAGTAAAGAAGTTATAAGTAAGTACCTAGGAGAGTGATTATAAAATTCCATTTATAAATAAGTATTACAAATCCGAAAATTAGAATAAATAAGCTATGTTCTCTCAATCCGTCCTTGTTCATTAATGTTTTGTCTTGTCAATCCATTCTTGTTCAGTTTATGCTTTGTTTTCTCAATCTTTCCTTGTTCAATAAATACTATGTTTTCTTAATCCGTCCTTGTTCTGTTTATACTATTTGCTCTCTTAATCCGTCCTTGTACAGTTTTCACAAGGTTTTCTCAATGCGTCCTTGTTCAGTTTATACTATGTTCTCTCAATCCATAATTGTTCAGTAAATACTATGTTCTCTTAACCCGTCCTTGTTCAGTTACACTCACTTCTTTTATTCCGTCCTTGTTTAGTTTATGCTTTGTTATTGCAATCCGTCCTTATTCAGTTTATACTTTGTTCTCTAGATCCGTCTTTGTTCAGTTTACACAATGTTATTTCAATCCGTCTTTGTTCAGTTTACACTTTGTTCTCTCGATCCTTCCTTGTTCAGTTTACACTTTGTTATCTTATTCCGTACTTGTTTAGTTTACACTTTGTTCTCTTATTCCGTACTTGTTCAGTTTACACTTTGTTCTCTCGATCCTTCCTTGTTCAGTTTACACTATGTTCTTTTAATCCGTCCTTGTTCAGTTTACACTTTGTTCTCTCGATCCTTCCTTGTTCAGTTTACACTATGTTCTTTTAATCCGTCTTTGTTCAGTTTACACTTTGTTCTCTCGATCCTTCCTTGTTCAGTTTACACAATGTTCTTTCAATCCGTCTTTGTTCAGTTTACACTTTGTTCTCTCGATCCGTCGTTGTCCAGTTTACACTATGTTTTTTTTCAATCCGTCCTTGATCAGTTTATTTTTAGTTTTCTTGTTCCGCTTTATCCCAAATCGTGTTGACAAAATTTTGAATATTTTACTCTTTTCCCTTAATCATTGTTTATTAGGAGTTATTCTAGGTTCTCTTAATCAGCCCTATCATAGTTAATTAGGATTTATTCTAGGTTCTCTTAATCCGTCCTTTCATAGTTAATTAGGATTTATTCTAGGTTCTCTTAATCCGTCCTATCATAGTTTAATAGGATTTATTCTAGGTTCTCTTAATCAGTCCTATCATAGTTTATTAGGATTTATTCTAGGTTCTCTTAATTAGTTCTTTCATAGTTTATTAGGATTTATTCTAGGTTCTCTTAATTAGTTCTTTCATAGTTTATTAGGATTTATTCTAGGTTCTCTTAATTAGTTCTTTCATAGTTTAATAGGATTTATTCTAGGTTCTCTTAATCAGTCCTATCATAGTTTAATAGGATTTATTCAAGATTCTCTTAATCCGTCCTATCATAGTTTAATAGGATTTATTCTAGGTTCTCTTAATCCGTCCTATTATAGTTTAATAGGATTTCTTCAAGGTTCTCTTAATTAGTTCTTTCATAGTTTAATAGGATTTCTTCTAGATTCTCTTAATCCGTCCTATTATAGTTTAATAGGATTTATTCTAGGTTCTCTTAATCAGTCCTATCATAGTTTATTAGGATTTATTCTAGGTTCTCTTAATTAGTTCTTTCATAGTTTAATAGGATTTATTCAAGATTCTCTTAATTAGTTCTTTCATAGTTTAATAGGATTTATTCAAGATTCTTTTAATCCGTCCTATTATAGTTTAATAGGATTTCTTCTAGATTCTTTTAATCCGTCCTATTATAGTTTAATAGGATTTCTTCTAGATTCTCTTAATCCGTCCTATTATAGTTTAATAGGATTTATTCTAGATTCTCTTAATCAGTCCTATTATAGTTTATTAGGATTTATTCTAGATTCTCTTAATCAGTCCTATTATAGTTTAATAGGATTTCTTCTAGATTCTCTATAGTTTATTAGGATTTATTCTAGATTCTCTTAATCAGTCCTTCATAGTTTAATAGGATTTACATGTTTTTTTCTACTAACCTGTCTCATCACAGTTATATAGGATTTATTCTACGTTCTTGTAATCCATCCGATAGCAAAACGTACTAAGATTTATTTGGCGTTTTTCTGATCTGTCTAACATTTTTTAGTAGAGATTAATGTTGTCTTTTTAAACCTTCAAAAAAATGGATTTCATAATCTATTCATCCGTATCCGTCCTAGCAAAGTCTAGTAAAATTATGATACGTCCCAGAAAATTTTATTTTTTAATTACATAAATCCATTCTAGTTTTGACTCTAACTAGTTTGTTTTAGCTGATGTGTCTAAAACTTTAAAATTTTCATATAGTAATGGAGGTTACCCCTGTACATATGATAGCTGCAGTTGAAAAGAATGGAGGTATAGGTTTAAACGGAGCTCTACCCTGGAGAATAGAAGAGGATTGGAGATACTTCCTAAATCATGTTACTAGGTAAAATATAATAGAGGCATCGGATATCTAGAAAGATTTTCAATTTAACATTTCAGGGACGGGTCGGAGATATGTGAAGAGAAAAAAGAACGTCTGGTTTGGATTTTTGGAAGAAAAACCTGGGAGACAACATTCAAGCTCGGAGGATTACTTCGAGAACAGGTTTAAATATTCAGACGACTTTAAAACCTCGAACATATTTTTTGAAAACCTTTGATTAAAGTTTGCAGTAAAAAAATTAAAAGATGAAAACAATATTCCTCTGGAATACAACAAATACTGAAATGCTAGACTTTTATCCATCATTATTAACTAGATAAAGGTCTAGAGAATAATCGTGGACGTAATTTCTAAATTTAAAGTTAGGTTGTTCCTCCTAAAAGAGTGCTTTATGTTAAAAAAATGTTATTCAGATAAAAAGTTCGTTATTCTGCATCATTCTCTCAAAATCGGAATCTTCCATTAAAGGTTTAATCATTTAATTTTGAAAATCTCTTCAATCATTATTTTGAACATCTAATTCTAATACCAAGATTTAATCAAAATTACACATTTTCTATATAATTCGTCCAGCTTATTTTAGAAAATCAAAATCAATCGAGGATTGATCAACTGAACCCCGATCGATCAGAGCAATCGATAGATCAATTGGATTGTCTGGAAGCTAAAGGATTGGACAAGGATGAATCCTTCCTCCCTGAACATAAGTTTGCGACCAACTGGAATGAGGTGAATTTTAAGTCTTGGAACAGTTGATGTTAAAAAAAAAACTCTTTTAATCCTAGGTTCTCGAAATAATTTCTGGGCTGGGTAGGGTCTACGCAGCGTGGAACCTGGGAGGTCCAGGAGTCTACGCGGCTCAATTGACTTCCGGTCATCTGAGAAACACACGGTAAATTGTTTTCATTCACACGTGTAAACCCTTAGCATCCGACCGGATGTATTGTAAATGTGTTATTGGTTAATTAAGAGAGAATTCTAATGAGATAGTCAAAGAACCTTCTCGAACATTCGAATCTAATAATCAACCAACATTATAATAAGCATCTCTTTCATAAGTCCATGCACCCAAATTAAATGTTTTTTTTTGCATACATAAAAGCCTAAACTAGTAATTGTTCCATAATTAAGTTGTAATTTATCTCAAAATCGTATTTAAACCCGGAATCTGATTTAAAATTTGTACTAACGATTAAAACCTTTGTTTCGAAAAGGAAACGTGTAAAAAGTGCGAATTTTAAAAACAAGTTCTGAAAGAATCGTTTAAATATTTCTAGGTTGTATCTTACCAGAATAGATAGAGAATACAATTGTGATTCATGGTTTCCTAACCTAGATCCCTTCTCCGTAGATATACTTCAAACTAGGTTAGATGAATCCAGTGTAGAGAATTCGGATCCGTTTCATCCGCGACATTTCGCCTTCCTGGATCAGGATCCGTAAAAACATGTAGATCCTCGGATCCAGATTTAAGAGACAAAATATCAACCAAAAACAAAATATCAACCAAAAACAAAATATCAACCAAAAACAAAATATCAACCAAAAACAAAATATCAACCAAAAATTGTACAAAACCCCAAATCTAAACTGTTGAAAAAAGAGACATTTCTATATCTCTGAATGGTTTAGCATAAGATAAGCGAAAAAAAGGAGAAAAATAATTAGATAATTTTATTTTGTTAAAAGAATCAGTATTTCCTAAAGAAATGTTCTTGACCTGGATCCGGATAATTTTTTTCAAGGAGGATCCAGAATCCAGGATCCAGGATCCAGAGGCCGAATGCAAAGAATTTGAGCCGCGGCTTAAATCCGCCAAAACCCAGTTTAAATTAAGCGCCGGCTTAAACCTTGAAACATATGATACAACTTTAAGCGGAACCAACCATATTTAATCCACGGCTTAAATTTGATCCACGGCTCAAATTCTTTAAATTCGGTCTCAAAATCCAGGATCTGCAATAAAATAAAATGGATCAAAAGCACTGGATTTTCAACATTCATGCAAACAATGCAGACAAAAAAATATAAAACAAAACGAAAGTTTTGGGCGGAACAAAACGGTCCTGCTTTCAAGAATTTTTCTTTTGTTTTGAAGTCGTCTTCATATTTCTCATAAATAAAATTTAAAAAAATAATTATTAAATCTATTTTTTGCAGGAACCAACTGGAATTACAAGAAGTTCAGTTTACCCTGGTTAAAAACAGGAAAATTAAACATTTAAAAAATTCAGATTTTAAATTCCTTGATGCTCTTTTTTTATTTTCCTAAAAATTCTGGTTAATTTGCCTTCCTAAATATTTTAGTTTACACATTTTCCTAAATATTCTAGTTCACACATCTCCCTAAATATTCCAATTTACACATCTTCCTGAACATTCAAGTTTACACATCTTCCTAAACATTCTAGTTTACACATCTTCCTAAATATTCAAGTTGACACATCTTCCTAAATATTCCAATTTACACATCTTCCTGAACATTCAAGTTTACACATCTTCCTAAACATTATAGTTTACACATCTTCCTAAATATTCAAGTTTACACATCTTCCTAAATATTCTAGTTCACACATATCTCCCTAAATATTCCAGTTTACACATCTTCCTAAATATTCTTGTTTACGTATCTTCCTAAATATTCTAGTTTACACATCTTCCTAAATATTCTAGTTTACACATCTTCCTAAATATTCAAGTTTAAACATCTCCCTAAATATTCCAGTTTACACATATTCCTGAACATTCAATTTTACACTCCTTCCAAAATATTCTAGTTCACACATTTTTCTAAATATTCTAGTTAACACATCTTCCGAAACAGTTTACGCATCTTTCTAAACATTCTAGTTTACACATCTTCCTAAATATTTAAGTTTACACATCTTCCTAAATATTCTAGTTTACACATCTTCGTGAATATGTTTCCGTTGGTCTTATATTAAAATTAAAGTTTTTTAAAGTTCTAAGTCGTCTAACTTTAGCGTGCATTTAAGTAAATTCGTCAAAAAAATCTTCTAAGATAACTTGACTTATATACGTTTATACCTTCTAAGATAACTTGACTTATAGACGTTTATACCTTCTAAGATAACTTGACTCATAGACATTAAAATCTTTTAAGATAACCTTACTTATAGACGTTTAAACCTTCTAAGATAACTTGACTTATAGACGTTTATACCATCTAAGATAACTTGACTCATAGATGTTGAAATCTACTAAGATAACTTGACTCATAGACGTTAAAATCTTTTAAGATAACCTAACTTATAGAATCTTAAACCATCTAAGATAACTTGACTTATAGACGTTTATACCTTTTAAGATAACTTGACTCATAGACGTTTATACCTTCTAAGATAACTTGACTCATAGACGTTTATACCTTCTAAGATAACTTTACTTACAGACGTTAAAACCTTCCAAGATAATTTTACTTATGGACGTTTATACCTTCTATGATATCTAGACGTTCAAATCTAGTAAGATAACTTGACTTATAAACGTTTGAACCTTCCAAGAAAACTTCATAGACGTTTAGACCTTCTAAGATAACTTGACTTGAAGACGTTTAAACTTTCCAAGATAACTTTAATTATAGACGTTTAAACTTACTAAGATAACTTTTCTTAACTTTACAAATCTTTTACCCGTTAACGTTTAATTCACTGATCCCTTAAACCTTCAAACCATTCCTTCAAACAACATTTAAACCTTCAAATGTTAACTTTAAGAAACAATAAATCTACAAATTGTAACTTAAAAACTTAAACTTTCAAATTGTAACTATTAAAACATTTCAACCTTCAAAGCGTAAGTTCGTGAACAATTAGAACTCCAGAACGTAATAAAAATTTCCATTCAAAGCTTTAAGTTTAGGAAATATTTCAACCTTAAAATCGTAACTTCAATAAACATTTAAGTCTTCAAATCGTAACTTCAATAAACATTTAAGCCTTCAAATCGTAACTTCAATAAACATTTAAACCTTCTAATCGTAACTTTAATAAACATTTAACCCTTCGAATCTTAACTTTAAGAAACATTAAACCTTCCAATCGTGACTTAAAGAAACATTTTAACCTTCAAATCGTAACTTAAAGAAACATTTAAACCTTTACATCCCAACTTTATAAAACCCAAAAATCTTTAAATCGTATCTAGAAAAATTTCGACCCTCTTCTAAGCTTAACTACAATGAACATTAAAAGAATTAAAACCTTCAAATCTCAACTTCAAGAAACATCTAAACCTTAAAATCGTAACTTCAGTAATCATTTAAATTTACAAATCGTACCTACATGAAACTTTTAAACCTTCAAATCGTAACTTAAAATAACATAAACTTTTACATCCCAACTTCATATAACCCTAAAATCTTTAAATCGCAACTAACTAGAAAAATTTCGACGTAACTACAGAGAAAAATAAGGCTTACAAATCGTAACTTCATGAAACATTTTTCAAATAATTAATTGGCAAAAATCTTGCAACTCTTCAAATCGGAACTTCGTGAAATATAAATTTACTTTCGATGCGATATTCAGACCTCTACTATTTTACGTTGTGATATTATGAAAAATGTAAACCTTTAATCTAAATGCAAGTAAGAGTTAAATTTCCGTTTTAATTTAAAGATTCATTAGCCTGTATTTTATCAAAAAGCAAGGAACAGTAACAGCTTAAAATGTCAAAGGTGCCGAGCATAGAGAAATGGTTTAACTAGTTCCTGCTTTTTATTAAATCTGATAAGTCCTTCCAAGTGCCAACTTCCAATTTAGAATTCCAGACTTAAATCAGTACGAACCAAGTTATAATTAAAATTTAAGCTATGAAAAAATGTTGAAATTATCTGCAACTAGGACCAGTGCTACAGAACAAGCTAAAGATGGTATAAATCTTTCCTACCAGATCTATGAATTTAAGCAAAAATAAATTATATAATTTATTTGGTCTTTTAACAGCATGTAATTATGTAAATAACGAATTTTCAAGTCATTTAGTGTAATGCAGCATTTACAAGATTAGAGGCCCATACATGGCACACGAGATATATCTATACAGTTAAACTGGGATCCTCAACAAATAGAATAATAGGAATATACATAGAATATAATGAGGAAGAAGCTGAGCAAATTTGTGCGAATATATTAAACTAGGATAAATTTTAACTCAAGGTACTGAGCGAACTCTGCGTAGAGATAGATCTACTCTTCGTAGTACTTCATGTAATCCTCTTGGGTCCACTCCTCGTAGGGTTTCTCAACAACAGTCTGGGTCTCTTCCTCCTCTTGATGCTGCTCCTCAGGGAGATAAACTCCGGTATAGCAGGGAGAGGGGACGGTTACAAGCATGAGCAGACCTGTGGAAGGATCTGGAACGTAATATGCAAGAACGGGTTGAGGAACAGGGATCCAGGATACTTCGGATTCAGGAGAGTATGTGACCAGGGGCTCCTGGCTGTAAACTACATTAGGGGTATATACAAGGGTTGACTGATCAGGAGTGAACACAACAGGAATTTGCTCAGGACTGTAAACATCTGAATGATCTACCAGGGGACAAACAGATTGATCAGGAGTGTAAATAACAGATTGCTCCGATGAAAAGGAAGATTCCTCAGGGGTAGGACTCCATACTCCTTCATCAGTAGAAACATCGTCGATGATCTTCTCCTCCTGCTCCTCCGAGGAAACAACCTCTGACCCGCAGCTGGAGCTAGTGTCGGACATGAGGGAGGAGAGGGTTGGGACGGGTTGATATTCAGGGTGCGACATCTTGTAAATTCTGTAACAATCATCAAGGATCTCCTGTGTGTAAAGGTTGATGTAATCGCCTTGGTAGAAATAAGTTTGTATTACAGGAATACCATCTTCTGCATATCCCAGGAGTTGAATAGATACATCCTCACGGAACATGAGATCAGAAGCGATATCAATGACAATTTCATCAGTGGCAGGGTTAATATGTCCGATGTAAACTTCAATGGCCTGGAACGGTAGTTGAACAAAGTCTGATCGGAGTGGTCTCAGCTCTGAAACCTGAACAGTTGTGTATCCACCGTGATCAACAAACTTGACCTCACAAGAGTCATTCTCCTCGTTATAAGTTACAACCTGACATCTATACCACTTCTCTCCAGAGAGAACAGCTAACAGGCTTCCAGTAGCAATAGGTCGGAGCAGCATCGGAGGAGCTTCCTCAGCAAAGATCTTCCCCATATCCTCCTCCAAAGGTTTAACTCCAGGAAATGTTGGATTTTTCATCTGCTGAATAAACATGTGACAAGTATCAACGACACAGGAAACAGTGATATTGTGCAGACACAGAGGTTCGTTTGCCAGAGTTAAAGTGTTGCTTCCGTCGGCATAGGAAACGAGGATCGGAGCTAGTTTATTCTCGACTGTAGGATCATAAGATCTGAATTCGAAACCTGGAGGAGGATTAACTCCATACCTGGATGATCTTTCATGCTCCTCAACAGACAGCTTCTGAGCTACAGCCATATCCCGGAGAGCTTGACCCGGAGCAGTTCGGACTAAACCAGCAGATTTGCTCAGAACCTTCTTACCAACAGGGAACTTGGGCTGGAGCTTCCAGCTTGTGCACAGGACGTGTCTCATATCTGCTCCTTGTTTCATCATCTCTTCAGCATTCTCCTCAGTGACCTTCATTCGATCGAAATCCTCGATCAGTATATCTTGCAAGTGTTGATCATCAGAAATAATTTCAAACTCCAAATTCAGAGATGCCTCCGACACCTCAGAAACCTCCGAAATGTAACTGTCGGATTTGGGAGAACTGGATCGCACACTGTCTTCCTTGAAATTTTCGTCGACAGAGCTTGTATCACTTAGTCCGCAGACTATTTCAACGGGAATTCTGTTTACAGGCATTATTAAGCAGGTAAAGTCGGCAATTTAGGAGAATTAGTGTCGCTGACAGCAGTCTATGTAAATTAACTTTAATTCAGATTGTCCTCAGAATAATTAATCGACAATATGAATTGCCATGTGGTAATTTCCCAAGAGGAATGATTTCTGTCCTCTCTATACAATGTCTTCTGCAGAACTGAATAAGAACGTTTCAGGCCTCACCTCAACGTGGAGAGTACAATAACGCGGCTACTGCGCATTTGTTCTGCGCAGAAGATTTCACCACGTGTGTAAACGTTCCTGAGATCCCAGTATCCATGCCCCCACGTGGGGTTGGTAGGCTAGGCACCGGTGCTTTAAAGCAGCTTCAATAAGCGGATACTACGCAGAAAATACGATACTTGAGATAATTTTAGGCGGGAAAATAATATTTGGCTAAAAACGTATAAAACCTAAAAATGGCAAAATTTAAATTTTTGGATTTTGAAAAAATATGTAAAATATATTTGTTGTATCCTTGTTTTCGGACCACGTTATGGCTGAGCGCTTTTCATTTGTTTTGAATATTTGTGAGCGCTTTGAAGGGAAGTATTACACCATGAGGCAAAGTAGGGAAAATATAACAGGGGAGCAACAGGTTTTCTATTCCGCATATAAAAAGCAAGAATTCTAAATTTGCGAACATGGCCTTAAAACTTTAAATATAAATTTTATAACATTTTCCTAATTTTGCTAAGAATTCTGTGTATATTTGTTCGTACTTTTCACTTCGAGCAAAAAGTTGACCGTTCAGTGCTTCATCCCCCCCCCCTCTTACCAAGTTGTTCTAAATGTCCCCTCCTCCCCTTTAAATGTATAGAATAAACAGTAAACACCTGTGTTTCCGCTTTATTATCAAAATATCTAAACAAATATTTATATTTTTATTTATACAATTTCATCCATTCTATCCATTAAACATCCTTTTATCAATGAACGGATATATTTTGTTCCAACTTAGCTTTGAAAATCTTAAATTTCGTGTGACCGGAAGATTTGAAATTATTGTAAAATGTATATTTTTCATGATACTGCAGGAGATGATTTTACTCTGAGGGAGCAAATGACACCCCCACCCCACCACCCCCTCTCCTCACATATATAGGATCAATAATTAGGAACATTTGACTCATGTGAAACAACTTGTATCTCCACAAATCTCTTGATCTCGTTATATGCAGCTGCCTTCTCACAGATATTAATTGTTTTTTGTTTAAATTCCCCCCCCCCCCCTCTTTGTGTTTAATACCCTATTTCTCGATTGCTTGATCTCTATATCCATTATATCCACAGTCGGCACTTTTGAATTTTAAGCAGAACTGCTTGATCTCCTGACTTTGGATTTTTCTGTTCTCCCATAGTCTGTAGTTAAACAAATTTCCTGATCTCGATATCCACAATAAGAGAGTTCCAATCTCTGCTTTAACTTGGAACCTTGTCAAACTGTTCTGATCTACGGCAGTAGTTAGGCTCGGAGACGAAGGGGGTCTGTATGTGTGTATATGGTGTATTAAGTGCTATATGGATTGAACTATAAGCTCAATAAACTAACATTCAATTATCTTTTTTTAATTTACGATAAGAGCTCTTAAATTTCCTCAGGGTCTGGATTCATGAATCGCTAAATTGCAAAACAGGGTGGACTTCGTCATTTCTTGCCCCCCCCTACAGGGGGGGGGCAAGACTTCTTAAGGGAGGGGCATGCCCCCCCCCTTAATCAGGCTAGGGGGGGCCTGGCCCCCCCTAGTTGCGCGCCTGACTGCCTGTACAAATATGTTTCTTTTCCCAACTCTATTTTTGATAATAAAATGACGGGCTTCTCTTACCATTCTCCGCCCCCCCCCTCCAATGCACCTACTTTCTTCATCTGCATTTTTATAGATTTTAAACCAATTTATTTCTGTAAATTTATCAATCCATGTTTCTTCCCTCCCTCTCCACGTGGGACGCACAGATTACTCCGGGTAGCAGAGTAAACTGTTTCTATGCAGGACCGGGGGGAGGAGGGGGGGAGGGGAGCAGGTTCACGCGGGAGCAAGGTTTCCTCAATATGGTGCAATATCTCGTAAAACTATCCACCAGCTATCTAGAGAAATATTTAACAGAGTGTAACAGAATACAGGAAATATATAAATGCAGCTTATAAATTAAATTCACCCAAACATTCTCACCATAATTAACTTAAGTTTTAAGAGAGATATTAAATTTTTTTTGTTGAAAGATGAAAGATTAGTATACTAAATGCCTATACAAAAAGGGGTTTTACAACTTAATTTTTATGATCTGAATTTTACAGGAAGATACGAAATAATTGCAGAATTCAAAGAGACGTAAAAAACTTTCTATCATGCATTCAAGTTTTGAAAAAAAAATACATTGAGATTAAGATAAATTACTGGCTCTTTAAATTAAAGTTTTTCCTCTAAACCTTTGACAAAAATCTTCTTGTTTATCTTCCTTTTTGCCTCGCCTCTTAACCTTATAGTTTCTTCATAAACCTAGGAGTTTATCATCAAACCTTGTATAGTCTTAAACCTTTTAGTTTATCCTTAAATCTTAAACCTTTTATTTTTTCCTTAAACCATAAACCTTTTAGTTAATACTTAAAACTTAAACCTTTTAGATTATCCTTTAACCTTTTGTAGTTCATCCTTAAACCTTAAACCTTTTAGTTTATCCTTATACCTTTTATAGTTTATTCTTAAACCATAAACCTTTTAGTTTATCCTTTAACCTTTTGTAGTTTATCCTTAAACCTTAAACCTTTTATAGTTTATCCTTAAACCATATACATTTTAGTTTATTATTTAACCTTTTGTAGTTTATCCTTAAACCTTAAACCTTTTATATTTTATCCTTAAACCTTAAACCTTTTAGTTTATCCTTAAACGTTGCAGTTCATCCTTAAACCTTAAAGTTTATCAATAAATCCTGTAATTTATCCTTGAACCTTGCAGTTCATCCTTTAACCTTATAATTTGTCCTTAAACCTTGTATGTAGTTTATTCTTAAACCTTGTAGTTTATCCTTAAACCTTGTAGTTTATCCTTACACCTTTTAGTTTATCCTTAAACTTTGTAGTTTATCCTTAAACCTTGTAGTTTATCTTTATACCTTGGAGTTTATCTTTAAACCTTGGAGTTTATCTTTAAACCTTGTAGTTTATCCTTAAACCTTGTAGTTTATCTTTAAACCTTCAACCTTGTAGTTTATCTTTAAACATTGTAGTTTATCCTTAAACTTTGTAGTTTATCCTTAAAGCTTGAAGTTGATCCTTAAACCTGGTAGTTTATCCTTAAACCTTGGAATTTATACTTAAACCTTGTAGTTTTTCTTTAAGCCTTGGAGTTTTTCTTTAAACCTTGGAGTTTATCCTTAAACCTTGTAGTTTATCCTTAAATCTTGGAGTTTATCCTTTGAGACCTTGTTTATCCTTATACCTTTTTGTTTATCCTTAAACCTTGTAGTTTAGCCTTAAACTTTTCAGTTTATCCTTAGACCTCGTAGTTTATCCATAAACCTTGTAGTTTATTCTTATACCTTGTAGTTTATCCTCAAACCCATGAAGTTTATCCTTAAACCTTGGAGTTTATCCTTGAACCTTTGAGTTTATCCTCAAACCTTGGAATTTATCTTAAACCTTGTAGTTTATCCTTAAACCTTTGTTGTTTATCTTTAAACCTTTGAGTTTATCATCAAAACTTGGAGTTTATCATTAAACCTTGGAGTTTATCCTTAAACCTTGTAGTTTATTCTCAAACCTTAGAATTTATCTTCAAGACTTGGAGTTTATCATTGAACTTTGGAGTTTATCCTTAGACCTTGTAGTTTATCCTTAAACCTTGGAGTTCATCATCAAACCTTGAAGTGTATCATTAAACCTTAAAGTTTATTTTTAAACCTTATACATTATCTTTATACCTTGTAGTTTATCCTTAAACCTTGGAGTTTATCCTTAAACCTTGTAGTTTTTCTTTAAACCTTAGAGTTTATCCTTTAACCTTGTAGTTTATCCTTAAATCATGAAGTTTATCCTTAAACCATAAATGTTATCCATATACCTAGTAGTTTATCCTTACACCTTGTAGTTTATCCATAAACCTTAGAGTTTAGCCTGAAACCTTGTAGTTTATCGTCAAACTTTGGAGTTTATCCTTAAACCTTGTAGTTTATCGTCAAACTTTGGAGTTTATCCTTAAACCTTGTAGTTTATCCTATAACTTAGAAATCAATCCTTAACCATGGAGTTTATCTTGTAACCTTTTAGTTTATGTTTAAACCTTTTAGTTTATCTTTAAACCTTTTAGTTTATCTTTAAACCTTGGAGCTTATCCTTAAATCATGTAGTTCTTCCTAAAACTTTTTGTTTTAACTTGAAAAATTTGAATTTATTCACAAACCTAAAGTTTATCTTCAAACCGTGGAGCTTATTTATCCTTAAACCTTTGAGTTTATTATAAAACTTTGGATTTTATCTTCCAGTTTTACTCCAAGTTTAATGGATAAAATCCTTAACACTCGGAGTTTATCCTTAAACCTATTTTGACCCATAGACTGTACACTGAGCCTTAGATTACATTATCTTGACCTATAAGATTGTTTGCTAAACCATAAAGTTTATTCCCGTACCTGAAGTCAGAACTTTGAGTTGCAGGGATAACTTTAATTTTAAGGAACAAGCGTTAGTTCTCAAATTTAAAAGTGGACCGATTGATATTGAGTTCAAACATTCAAGAATAACGATACTCAACACAAAAGTTCTGACTTGTGAGCTAAAAAGTTTAGAATGGTGGATATCGACATCTTAATCTCCAGATTAAATAAAGTTTATTCCCCTCTTGTTATTAATCTCCAGATTAATTAACCGATTGGGGTTAAGGATATCCCATTTAAAAGTTTCCAGCTCTGATCAATTACATTTAACTCTTCATTAAATCATTTAAATCTAAATAAATCGTTTAGTTTGCTTGTGTGATGTTATCAGTTGGAGGGGGGCTATAATTATTATAATCGTTTGCATAATGATTAGATTAATATTAGATATGAGAAGATGAGAGATAATTTTCATTAGAATTAACTTTTAGTGCAGATTTATATCGTAGATCAACTAAAATCACAAGAAAATCGGGAATGGAGAAGTTGAATATATATTTCTAAAAATCAATTCATTTATGCAATTGTTGATTTTTAGAATAAAAACAAAACACGTATATATATACGCTATTAATTT